TTCGAAAAATAATATAAAGTTGATTTTTGAATACTTATTTTACAAATTTTTGAATAAAAATTCTACTTACTGATTAAATATTAACGGTAGTTAAAACCAACTTACCAATTATTAAATTTGATGTTAATTATCAAATAATGTTTTTAATTAATTTGATCATCATTAAATAAGCATATACTTTAAACTTTAAAAATTAATTTATTGGAACTGCTTAAGTATGCATAGACTTATTCTATATCTAAATATATATCCTTATTTATTTTCATACAGATAGATTCCTTTAACTTTTTATCTAAAGAATTTAAAAATTTAAAATTTCCATTAATTTATAAAAATTTAGAAAATTTAAATTTAAAAAGTAGTGAATAAATAAGTTAATGTGTTCTTGTTGTATTATAGCTTTCATAATTAATTATCATTTTCTTTTAACTATTTTCTTTATTTTATTTTGTTCAATTCGAATTATTTAATAGAAATTGATTTATTCTAAAGTTTGCTAAATAATATAAAAACATAATTATTAATTATTAGAGATGTTATATATAAAATGTTCTAATTGCCATGAATAGCTTGCAGAAATGTTTTGCAAGAATTAATTTTGTAATGAAAGAAGATTATTTTGCTATGAAAACTGCTTGAGAACTAAATAGAAGCATTATGATCATCTAAAAGACACCGAAAAGATAGAAACACTACCTAATTTTGTTAAGGCTAATGCAAATGAATGTTAAAAAATGCTAGAGGAGTTTGATATATCATTTAATGAAGTTCATGGATTGTATAGATAATTTTAAAATGGTCTTTTTAAAAAATATTCACTTTCAGATAGAGCTCTTTAATAATCAAATTCAGATCAAATAAATGATGCTTTATGCAGATTTATAAATTTAAAAAAAGATAAAGAAGTATTATTAGAAAATTTTCAAAATGGAATTAATTTTTTCATAGAAAAATTAAAAGAGTGTATTGAAGAACTAAAATTAGATGAGTTGAATTATTTAGAATAATTATCTTCAGAAGAAATAAGTATTCCTTCAATGCCTTTTTAATTTGAGTTAATAGAAAAAAGCAGTATTAAATCAGATATTAAATATTGTTCATTTGCTTTTAATAATAATTCGTCAATTGTTATAGGTGGATTAGAAAATGGTGAAATTAAAATATTTGAATTCATAGATGAATTATTAAAATAAATATAATTAATAAAAAATGGTGATTATGCAGTTTATTGTTTATAATTTATGTAGAAATCTAATTAATTTATTTCAGGGAGTGCAGATGGAACTATTAATATCTGGTCATTTGATGATGTAAATTAATGGCATTTTATTCGTAAATTTAATGAAGATTGTGGCCCTATAATGTGTTTAATTACAAATATTAGTGAAAATTTAATATTCTCAGGGAATTAAGATTCTACAATTAAAATTTTTGATGGAATGTAAGATTGGAATTTAAATTAAATTTTAACTGGACATAAAGGATGTATTGTTTCAATAAGTTTAAATCCACAATAAGATATGTTAATTTCTTGCACAGATGATGGTGATTAAATTATAATAATATATTAAAGAAAAAATTAAGTTTGGAACATTTTCTAAAATATTGCAGTGGGCAATAATGGATTTAGACTATGCTTTATAAATAATAGAAGATTTGTATTTCAACCTCTGTCATCTGAATTTTTAGAAATTTATGAAAATAATTTATCTAATTAATTGTTTCAAAAGACAAGTGAGCTTTCTTAATAACAAAAAAAAAAGTTTATTTGCGATGCTTTATTCCCTTAACAATTTATTTAATCAAAATCAATTATCATAAATAAAAATGGTTTTTATGTAAATATTTTAAGAATTATGACTAATCATGAAATTATTCATAAATATTAAATTTAATTTCTTACTGAAT